TTATGACAGTAGCTTTCAAAACACTGAATTTAGTCTTGATCTTTTCGTCAATATTCACCTCACTGTATGGGCTTTGGAATTATTTTGAGCCAAATTATTAAGAAAACGAGCTTTAGTTGGATTACATTTCTTAAAGTTACATGATATTTATCACCTTTTCTCCCTATTCTTACATCTCAGTAATTAAAGCATAAGGAGATTGAGCACAGGCGTGCTGGCCGGAGCAGGGACCCTCCCTGTGCTTCCTGTCCGTAAGGTTAGGGGAGCTGCTTCACTGCTTTAGTGGCTCAACAGACCCATAGTTTACACACGGCCTCCAACACTTCTCTGCCTCCCTGATGGGATGGTCCCTCTCTCAAGCAAACAAGAACAGCTCCAGGAAAAGCTGCTTGTCTCACGAGTTTGGTGATGGCCACCCTGACCATGGGCATCCCCAGGTCACATGGACATCCACATGGACAGGGCCGAGTGCTCCTGTGGGGGCTGTGGCTCAGGCATTAGGATTTCTTTTCCTTCTTTTTGCAGCGCTGGGTGGAACCCAGGGCCTTGCTGACACGCAGCCGGGGATTTTTTTACTTTTTTTTACCACCCTGGTACTGACTGAGTCCCCCCAGGTGAGCAGGTGTGCCACATCCTGGTGGAGGTCTTAGGATCCTTGCACATTCACACAGTAAAGAAGGGTGTAGGGTGTGTGCACCAACAGTGGTGTCCCCAGAGGGAGCCACTGGTACCGCCTGTGCTCACCAGCGCTCACCTGCACCCGGGCTCCACAGGCAGGAGGCTCATGTCCTGCTGTCCCAGCGACAGCTAGGACGGGCCCTGAAATTTGTTGGTGGAGGCTTGTCCTACAGCCAGCAGAGCCCAGAGACACAGCAGCTGACAGCGAGGTCTCTGTGGAGAGGTGACATTCAGGCCAAGGCAGCAGGAAGGGCTGTCTTGGGAGCACCCAGCCCTGTATCTGGGCACAGGCTGAGCAGCTCAGCCTGGAGCGTTCTGGGGGGATGTCGGTTTGGCTTTGAGATGATGTTTGAATAAGCGGTGCTCAGCGCCCCCCACACTTGCTGGCTTCCTTGCAGATGATGAGAGAGACGTGCCTTCATGGGTATTTGGACGCCTGCAGGTTCTTGGAAGAGAATGGTACGTGTGGGCTTTGTGGCCATCTCAGCCTGTGGGTAGCAGGATGGTCACATGGTGATGGGATTGCCTGATGTCATGATGCCCAGAATGTGTCCTTGTTGTTAAGCCGCACGCGTCTGTATTAGGGTGGAACCGTCATCACACGGTTCAGAACTGTTTGTCTTTAATGCTAAGAGTCAGTTGAGGGTTGAGGCTTTGGATTATCCTTCAGCTGAGGCCAAGGAGACAATATGAGGACCTCGGTGTATTTATCTACGCAGAAGGTCAGTGCTGGGCTATGTGCTAGGGACACTACTGTGAGCACATGTGGCCTCTGCTGGGCTCAGGGAGAAGTGAGCAGATGGCCATGTGCTGTTGGGATCCCTGCTCCAGGGTCACGCAGGAGGGATCTGCAAGTAGGACTGCCAGAGGCTGTGGCCCCCTGAGACCTCCTCTGAACAGGAGACCTGGGTCTCAGAGGCTACAGTGGGCCTGAGGCCTGCAGGCTGGGCTGCCAGGGGCAGGCGAGGGAGAAGGACCTGGGAATGACCGACGGGAGAGTCGGGAAGGGGCAGATCCAGGATGAAGTCCTGGCTCAGCTTCCACTCTGGGGCAGCGGAGATGGGGGTCTGCTTGCTGCTCGGGGCCCTTGGGAGGGCCCGGTTTGGCTGGAAGCCAGGAGCGTGTTCTAGGGCCCCAATTCCTTGGTGCAGACTTCAGAGTGGGGGTCGGCATGATAGAGGTGTCCCTGTGCACACACCTTGACCAGTGGCACCTTGGGCCTTCTGACCTGACCAGGAGCCCAAAGACACTGCCACTGCTTGTGACCTGCCCAGCCCAGCAGTTTAGTCCTCTAAGGGCAGAGGCCACTCGTTGGGGTCAGTGGCCAAGTCCAGGCCCAGGGAAGGGCATGCACCGGGGCATGATACGACCTTGCCTCCTGCTGTCTTTCAAAGCCAACCCTGGCTCTGCCAGGCATTAGCTGTGTGACTTTGGACAAATCTCTTGAGCTCTCTGCTGCTGATTCCTTGGCAGGAAGATGGAGTCAGGAAAGCGGTGGGCTGCCCTGGAGCCTGGCGGGCAGGGTCTAGCTCAAAGCCTGACTCCAGGTGCAGGCTCCACCCATGGGATTGCGATTAGAAATGAGCTATGACCCTTTCCTTCAACCTTAAGAATCCAGGTGTGAAGCGGGGGTGGCAAGCCACCAAGGCAGGAGCCAGTGACATCTGTCCACTCGAAAGCTCCTTCCTCCCTGGGCCCTAGCTGATCCTGGGCCTGTGGTCCCGGCTGGCCCCCTGGTAGTGCTGTGCTGGGTGGTCCCTGCTGCCCACCTCCTCTCGGGCCTTCTCTGCTCTCCTAGGCATCAGTGACCGGCCCCAGCTGTGCCCAAGTTTGTCCTCAGAAGAGAAGGAGCCAGAGGCCATCTTGCCCTGCTGGGAGGACCAGAGGCAGCAGCTGTCCCTGATCCTGGGGCTGGCGGAGGGGGAGGAGCTGATGGAGCGCCTCAGCACCCTGCCTTGGGACGAGCACATCCTGGACACCTTGTCGCCCAGGCTGGCCGCAGGTGGGGGTTCGTCTGGGGGCGGTCGGAAGGTGAACCCGAGAGAGCAAAAGTGCTTCTCTCCCGTGTTGTGGGGGCCACAGGGCAGAGTGACGGGGATGGGCTGGTGAGTGACACCAGCACCCAGCTGCACGCAGAGCCTCCCTTCCTCCCACAGGGTCATGACCAGGAGGAAGATGGACCCCAGCTGAGCCCAGTCCTGGTTGCGGGACCCTCAGCTCAGCTTCCTGAGTGTCCGCCAGCGCAGCTAGGCTGGTGTTTGTGGAGCCAGGGCCAGGTCCCTGGGGCAGGGCACAGTCGGGTCCCTGCTCCCTGCCTGTCCCCCGCCCCTGGTCCCTTCCTCCAGATCCTCTCCTGGTTTCCCTCAAGTTAGACCTCTGTGTCATCGGTGCTGAAGGGACAGTGCTGGGGCCTGAGGGCTTTGTCCCCTCGAATCACAGGTTGAAGTCCTCTCCCCTCCCCAGGTTGTGGCATGAGGGGTGGGGGCTTGGGGGTGAACAGGTGGTGGGCAGGGTCCTCACGAGCGGATGAGTGCTCCTATGAAGGAGGTGCCTTCTGGGCAGGAGGGCCCTGGCCACACACACCGACCGACACCAGGACTCTGCAGGAGCCCTGGACGTGGGCCTCCCGGCCTCCGAACTGTGAGGACTAAAGGTGGACGTATGAGCCGCTGTCCCACAGCGGTTGTGGCGGCAGCCTGAGCGGGCGGTCAGGTGGAGGCGGCCACAGGCCAGCTTCTCAGGCTGCATTCGGGGCCACCCAGAGCAGAGGCAGCTCCTGGGCTTCACGTCCCTGATGCCCTCGGAGCCGAGACCCAGCTGCCTTGGCGACTCCAGACCCCCCTGTTGACTCCATCTCGCGTCACCTGCCACGGGGACGCCTGCCCCCACCACCTCCGCAAGGGCTGCCCTCCCCATTGATCTTCCGTGGCTCCCGCTCTGAAGGAGCCACCAGCCCCACGGCCAGCTCCTGGGCTCCAGGCTGAGGGTACTGCCCACCGAGCTCCGCCTGGGTGAGTGGCCGCCTCTTCTCTTGGTGAAGACAGATCTCTCCTTGTCTCCCCCAGGGCTGGCGGAAGCCACAAGGGACAGGGGTGGCTACCTGAGCAGGCTGTCCAGCCTCCTGCCTGTGTGGGTCATGTACTACGTCATGCTGCCCGTGGAGTTGGCCGTCGCCCTCCTGCACAGGTGAGCTTCCCGGCGGCCTCGCGTCTCCTGCGAGGGCTCCGGGTGAGGGTTAAATGAGGTGACAGGTGAAGGCCCCGGCCCAGCCCGGCTCACAGCCTGCATGCGGTGCCCAGAGTTGCCCTGCTGTCCCGGGGGCCGGGGCAAGTCACCACCAACTCACAGACCCCGAGACTCCCGCAGCTGGTGCGGCCTCTCGTAGCATCAGGCTCAGCAGCTGGTGACCTCATGGGGAAACTGAGGCCTGGGACGCTGGGTCACAGCTGGGGTCTCAGAGCTGGTGGACCTGGCGGGGCCTAGCGTTGTGTCTTGCCCTTAGGCCTGTTCATTTATTTAGTGGTGCTCAAGAAATGAACCCTCACACATGCTAGGCAAGTGCTGGATCACTGAGCTGTACCCCTGCACCCCTCTCCCTTTAAATCACGTGAAGATACTAGAAAGCAGGGAATCTCATCTTCTGTTTGAGTCATAGTTTGTTAAAGTGGTTCAGAGTCAGCAATTAGATCAGAGTGAGATGTTCCTGGAACTTATTGATTGGCGCCCTCTGAAACCGGTTAGAGCTGGCAGCAGCTTGGCTGTGTAATCACACCGAGTTCAAATCCCAGCTGACCCTCTTACCTCAGCTGTGTGACCCTGGAAAACTGAATTTACCTCTCTGTGCTTCCCATCTAGAAAATGGGGATGGTAAGAGATCACCTTGTCCAGAAGGTGGTCAGAAGACTCAATGAGGGACCAAGTGTAAGGTGCTGATCACACAGGAGCATCCAGTTAGTGATGCTCTTGATTCTATTTTTAGATCTAGGTTGAGTATCTCTTACTCAAAATGCTTGGGACTAAATGGACATTTCAGATTTGGGAATTTTTTGACTTTGGAATATTTGCAGAGACTTTATCGGTTGAGCATCCCTAATTCAAAAATCAAAAATCCAAATTGCTATTCAGCTGAGCTCAGTGGTATACACCTATATACCCAGCTCCCAACTTAGGGAGACTCGGTGGGTTCAGGTTGGGTGTGTTTCACCTGTGATAATAATGAGAGCAACCATTAGGTAGGGCGGAGGATGGAGCTCAGTGGCAGAGAGCTTACCTAGCATGCATGAGGCCCTGTAAGGAAATAAAATCAGACAAAAGACATCCCAGCCCTTTTATTTATTTATTTTGAGACAGGGTCTTGCTAAGTTGCCTAGGATGGCCTTGAACTTGTGACCTCCGGCCTCCACCTTCTGAGTGGCTAGTGTTACAGAGGTGGGCTGCCTTGCTGGGCTTGGATTGTCCTCCTACCTCTCGTGGTCTGCAACGTCCCGAGGCCATGTCTGGGGACACTCACTGTCCCATGCTCAGTCAAAGCCGTCTGTCCCTCCAGCTCTGGGAAATGACCTCTTGCTCCCCAGCAAGCCTTTCTCCTCCATTCCTTTTCCCCCTTCATGTGGCTTCCTGGGTTGGATTCCTGTCTACTGACTCCTTCTCTTTCCCATGTATTTCATCTTTGTCTGTTAGTCTCCGATCTGGAATTTCCTCAGATCTTCTCTTCCAGTCCTGTTCTGTAGTTTTGAGCTCAACAAGCATATTTAGTGTCTAGGCGCTCACTTCTCTGTCTTCCTGAACGTTCTGTTCTTGATTTTTAAAATGATCTTAAACCTTTACTTAGTTTTATGTATTACATCCTTTGTTTATTTTGAGATCATGATAATCTTTACAAGAAAATTCTTTCTTTTGAACATGACTCTAAGTGAGCTGAGCCTAGACTATTTTGGAGCCACTCCAACAGGGAGTAAGGTGGGAGGCAGGGCCTCATCTCAGGCAAATAACACGACAGGACATTACATATGACACATGGATCAAAGGCTAAGAGAGCTGTTAACTTTTTGGTAGAAAAGGTGGCAGAATGCTTCCGTGTTTTACGTCATCTTTAAACAGACCAGGCTCTCCTTTTTACCTTCCAAAAAAACATTTGAATTCCAATTTCAGTGTGAAGAGTAACACAAAATTGCATATAACTTATTGACAGTAGGTTACTTTATCCAGCTACAAAACATCAAAGGAGGGCTGGGGTTGTGGCTCAGCAGCAGAGCGCTCGCCTAGCACGTGCGGGGTGCTGGGTTCGATCCTCAGCACCACCTAAATAGAAAATAAAGGTATTGTGTCCACCTACAACTAAAAAAATTTTTAAAAAATCAAAGGACATGAATAAACACCAACCAAATTTGTTATTTCCATACAAATCCAAGACTACTGCTTCAGAAGACTTGCGTTTGGAGAACACCCTGTTCTTGTTTTATGGGTGTAATATTGTCTTGGAATATTTGCTGTCCTCTGAATTGCCCCTTCTCTCTCTCTTCCTGGACCAGTTCTTCTGTTTGTCTCCTCTTTCTCTCTCATACCTTTGTCCTGGGCATTGTCTGGGAATCCGCTGCTCCAGGTAGACACCACGTCTGCAGGGCTGGGTTCAGGCTCTGTGCTGAGACTGTGGCTCCCCTCGGGGTCTCCTCCTGGGAGGAGTGTGCTTGTCGCCCCGCAGAGCTCCCGGGCAGTGGCTGACGCCCGGGCTCCCTGTCTTCCTGCTGCATCCTGTTTTATTGGGCCGAGGCTCAGCTCAGTGCTCCCCTTCTTCCTGGCCAGCTAGCCCGCAGGTCCTCCAGCCCATCTTCTGAAGTCCAGTCCTCCCGCAGAGTCCCTGGCAGCCCCCGGATTCTGCCACTGCCCTCCAGAATCGACCACCCGACCCTCACGGCCCTTGTCCTGGGTTGTGGTCTGTGTTTGGGTGTCTATCACAGCCCTGGGGGGTCCTCTTTGTGTCGGTGGGGGGCTGACCAGCCCCCCATGGGCGCCCCTGGTGCTGCCTCCCGTGGGGCCCCGGGGCCCTGGACAGCCAAGGCTTTTCCTTTTCATCTCCACAAAGTCCCCCGACTCTCCAGGACCCAAAGTGGCCTGGCTTTGCTTTAGATTTAGGTACTCCTGTCTTTGCCACCTAATCCCGAATCCACCTCTGGGACGGTCGGCAGCCTGCCTGGCCCGAGGGGCCGAGAGGAGAAACTGCTTTGGGCTGCTTTCATTCTGGCTTCGCACTGGAAGGCTGCGCAGTTCTGTGTGTCACGCATGTGCACACCTGTGTGTGTGTGTATGTGTGTGGTCTTGGCTTCGTTCCTACAGACTGCTGATCTGGCTTCCCAATAGCCCAGATGATTTTATCCAGTGGCTGCAGTGGGCCACCTCCCAGGTGTGTGCCCGCCTGATGACGTGCCTGCTCCCCTCTTCCAGGTAAGTGGCTTGGCTGGGGCTTGGGGGCCAGATGGCCTTCCAGAAATGCCTATGAGATGCCAGATTGGTAGCAAGGAGCTCACCCTGGGTGCGGGGCCGTGTCCCGTGGGATGCCCTGAGTCCCCCAGCAGTCCCCGTGCCCCAGGCCCGCCTGCTCAGCCTTCTCCCCAGGAGAGTCCGTTGGAGCCCAGTGTTGATGGTGAGCAGAGAGCCCGATAAAGCAGAGGAGGGCACCTGGGTGGAGGGGACAGGGAGAAGATCGGGGCAGTGGGGGCACTGGGTGGTGTAGGGAAGGCGCTCTGGGGGCCTCAGGGCAGGGAGGGGTGCAGCAGGGAGAGGAGGACTGTGGGCTGAGGAGGGGCAGGGCAGCAGGGTCTCTGGAGGGCAGAGCCTGTTGAGGCAGAGACCCTGTCCTCCCACTTCCCCAGCCAGTCTCAGGGGTGGAGCCAGGCAGACTGGGGAGGTCTCACTTCCTGGGTCCTGCAAACTGACCTGGAGCCAGAGGCCCTTGTGCCAGGGGCCGGGCCTCATCCCGAGATCAGGGGCCTTGGTTCCCCCCTGCTCAGGAGGCGCTTCCTGGGCCCTCTCTGCTCTCCATGAGGCTGAGCACTTGGCATAGGGCTTGGCCGCGGGGGACACTCTGCAGCCATCATGGTTGTCAGCAGTAGACATGGCAGAACTGAGAAGCAGGACCCTCAGTTCTTGGAAGGTGACCCTGGGCTGTGGCCACGGCCAGGGGAGGCCCGGGGAGGCATGGGCACAGCAGACGACGGTGTGAGTGGCAGGCTTCCCACTGCTCCTGGGCACAAGGGAGTGTCATTTTGGGCAGGGCCCTGCTCCGTGGTGCTAGGTGGTGGCAGTAGAGCTCCCTGGCAGGTGAGCAGGTATGTAGGAACCAGTGGCCCATCTGGGACTTGGGAGGAAGGGTGGCGGGTGTCAGCGGGAGGTGTCCAGGTAGCTCAGGGACCATGAACTTGGAGGAGCCGGCTGGTGACCTCAGCCCTGCACTGAGGCAGGAGGAAGCTGTCTCTGGGTCGGGTCACCGCAGTGTGCAGGTGTGTGGGGCAGCGTCGAGCATCCTGCTGAGCCCGGGACAGACAGCCAAGTAAGCCCTCCTCACTCTTTTCAGATTCCAAAGGCCAGCGAGTGGCCAGCCCGTGCCCTCACACCCTGCAGGATGCAGCTCTGCTGACCTGTAGGCGACCCAGCCGCCCACCCCGTGGACAGGCCAGGAGGGGCCGCCTGCAGCTCGATCTTCATGGCCAGCCTGGCCTCCGGCCTGACATCATGGCGTGGGCGGGTGGGGGCCGCTCTGCCCTCCTTACTTTCCTGGGAAAGGAGTTTCTGAGACCTGAGGGGGCATCTAGGAACCTTCCCCAGGTGTCAGGCCTTCTCTCCTTTGGACAGTCGCCCAGCTGCTGATTAGTGACCCGTGCCTGTGACCTCAGCATCCTGGCCTCTGCTCAGTGGTAGATCACGGGACCAGAGGCAGTGGCTTTGGTCTGATGGAAGCCAGCAAGCTACTTGGGTTTAGGGGCCATCCAGCTCCTGAGGAGACCTACCTTAAGTGTCAGGTGGCTCCGTTGATTGGGGAATGGTCCCAGGAAGTCCAGCGCAGGAGCCATGGCAGGATGGCTCACACCTGCTAGTGGCTGGACAGTGCCCAGAGTGGCCAAGGTTCCTAAGGTGGCCAGAGTTTAGACAGGGGCTGGGCTGGGCCATCTTGTGTGATCTTGGAGGGAAGAGAGCCACAGAAGCCCACAGACACATGCAGGAAGCAGTCAGTGCCGCCTGGGCTGGGCAACTGTCCCCCGAGGCCCCGCAGGGGCGCCTGCCTTCCACGTTCCCTACAGAAGGACTGGCCAGGTCCTCGGCAGACACAGCCAAGCCCCAGCAGTGCCTGACAGTGGCCAACACACTTGCACAGGATGGGTGTCTACACTGGGTCTGTGATCCTGATGAGGAGCTGTGTCAAGGCTGATGGGATCACGTGGGTGGGACTTGTTTCCTTTCTTCTTTTGAAAAGTCTCCAATTTCCTTTCAGTTATATCAATTATTTTACTTAAATTTCAAGAAAATACGGCTCAATATTAAGATTGGTGCCGTCTAGGTGGTGGCTGGTGGGTGTTAGCTGTAGTTTGCTGAATGTTTTACATACTTGAAATTCTCTCTTTTCTACTTGGCAAAAAGTTTTTTCCAACTTCCTTACAATGAGCACATATTGTATCATTTTTAAAAAGTGTCTTAGGCTGAGGAAGCGACAAGGTCAATCAAACCTGAGAGACGGCCGAGGCTTCCCCTCCCCGTGCCTTTCCTGCTGCCTGTCCTGTCCAGAGTTCCTCAGCAGCTCAGGGGCAGGTCCCCGTTCTTCCCATCCTCTCGGGTCCACCCTGGGGAACAATCACAGCAGCACACTTAATGTCAGGGAGCGAGTCTTGATTTGGTAAGGAGATGGCACAACTGGGTGCAGGGGATGAGCCCAATTTTGCTCAAAAAGAGATGTGTGTGGGCGAGGACCTGTGCTTCACAAGGACGGCGGGGCAGACACGGGGTCTCCGCCCCGTCCCGCTGTTATTCAGGAGGGCATTTGACTTGTTGGCTATTATGCGTTTTCCACGTTTCCACGGTGAACATGCATTTCCTTCAGCATCACACAATGATTCCTATTAAATGTGATTTTTAAATGTGCTCCCTGTCCCTGTCTACCTGCGGGCCTCCTTTCCCTTCCCACGGCCAGGTCCCTTTACAGCCACTGTCCCCGCAGGCTCACATGCTGACGCCCCAGGCTGCCCTGCCTGGCCGCCTGGCATCCACTGCCCTGTGCCCTTCCCCCCAGCCCTGTGGCCAGCCCTGCCAGGCTGCTCGCCCCCCTGGAGCCCCCAGGGGGTCCTAGCACTTGGCCCTCCTGAGCAGAGAAGCTTTGCTGGGTGTGATGGCCGCTCCTCTAAGGCCCCGCTTACGCCCAGGACCCCCTGTCTCTGGTTCTGATGGGGGTCAGGCCCACCCAAGTCCCCTGAGCCAGGAACTGGGGACCATGGCAGTGCCCCCTTGCCCCACTCCAGCTGGTCCCACCCTCAGAGCCCTGCTGCCCTGGTCAGGCTGGGTCCTTCCCCCTGCCGTAGCAGCTTCCCCCTGGGGTCCTGTGGCACTGTGAGCCTCGACCCATCTGCCCTGCATGTTGCTGCCCATAGGCCTGGACCTGCGGCCAGCACCCTGCAGCTGCCTTCCTGTGCAGCCTCCAGCCTCTAGCCTCCTGCCTCCTTGTGCAGTCCTGCCAGCAGCTCAGAGCCTCTCTGCCTCCCACTTCCTACCGCAGGTCTCTGCCTTGAGGGCTGTTCTCCCCATGCTCTTCCATCTTCCTGACTCACCTTCAGTCCTCAAGTGTCATGTGGGAAGGGACAACAAGGGCGCAGGGCCCTGAGGAGCCCTCACCATGCCGTGTCCTAACAGGCAGGTGACTCCAGTAGCAAGAGCCAGCCTGCCTCCAGTCCCCGGGGCCAGTGAGACCTGGGGTTTGATTTCATGAGGAGAACCACCTGGTCACTAAGCTGCATCTCTACAGTGGACAGGCCAGCACTTGGTTAATAAATCATCCGAAAGGGGGCCTCCTGGCTTGTAGCTGCCACTGGAGAGTCAGTCAGGATGGGCTGGTTATACTGCATTAACAAAAGCCCCAGAGGTCTCCTTACAAGACATGGCTTACTGACTTGGCTCTGTTTCAAGTTGTCCTCCCTCCCAGACCTGCCTGAGCCCACCCACCGTCTGAGGACCGCTGATTGACACGCGGGGTGGAAGGCAGTGGTCTCGAAGGTTTCCCTATTCCCTCTGTTCCCCATTTATTGACCAGATGAGTCAAGTGGATGGGGACGGGGAAATGCCATTCCATCCTTGCACAAGGTAACCTCAACAACCTCAGCAACTACAACAAAACAACAAACCCTAACAGTCTTCAGACCGGGGAAACACCGGGTGCAGCGGGCACTGGCGCTGCAGGGCTTCCACAGCTTGGATGTTGCTACATGTTCTGACCGCGAGGTCCCAGCAGCTTGGGGTGAGGCAGGGACTTGGGGCTCCTCACCTGCCCTCTGCTATCCTGCCACGGCCCTTCTCACAGTCTCTCCAATATCTGGCTCATGGCTCCTGTTGTACTGCAGAGTGACCTTGTGGGTGGCCCCAAGAATAGCTATGAGAGGCACATGCAAGAAAAGGCAGGAGAAAGAGAATCCCGCTCCTCCAGTGCCTGCAGTGCCCGCCCAGCTTGCCCTCTCCAAACCCTCCACCTTGCACCTTAGAATTCACTGTCATCCCACTTGAAAGATGAGAAACGGGCAGAATGAACTTCAAATGCTTGTCCAGCTCGTGTGGCTTGTACATAAGAGGCGTCCCGTCTCCCAGAATGTCTTCACTCCCGACATGGGCTTTTGAGTGGACTGGGATTGGCAGGACACCAAAGCCTCCCTCTGATGGCAGGAGCAGGTTTCCCGTGCCTGGAACCTGGCCCACTGGCACGGAGCCCAGAGCACTGGGTGGCCTCCAGAGCTTGGGCTTGTGAGCCTGGTTATGAACTGACCTGGAGCCCTGGGGATGCGGCCTAGCGGAGGAGGGCTTGCCAGGCTCGCCTGGGTGTTGGGTTCAATCCCCAGCAGAAAGGAGAGAGGGAGAGGCAGAAAAGAGGGCGGGAGGGAGGAAGAGGGAAGGGAGGCAGAGGTGCGCCAGAGACCCCGAGGGCGCGGGTGGAGATCCGGTGTTCACACAGATGCCTTCGGGGTGCAGCCTGTCAAGTGTACTGCTCCCCACTCTACTCCTATAAAAACTGTCTGAAGAGGGTAATACAGGGAGGGGGGTCATCTGTGCCATCATCTACTTTAGCCCTCTGCCCAGTCCCTGCAGCATGTGGGCATCACTCAAAGGTGGTTAACGGCTTGGGGGCTGTTTTAGGGTCAGGTGGGTCATATCAGGCTTGCAAGCTGTGGGGCTGAAGGCAAGTTATGTGCTGTCCTGAGCTTCAGTTGCATCCTTTCCTAAAACTGCCCACCTTACTGTGATGGTAAGTGACGCCACTCTTGCTGAGACTGGTGGTTACAGGGATGGCTCATTTTCCCCTCAAAGCAATCCTAGGGAGAAATGTTGTGACCAGCCTCATTGTACAAAAGAGGAGATTCACCCAGAGAGGTACAGATCTTGCCCAAGGACACACAGCTTGGCAATGGTTGAATTATAACTTGATGGCAGTGGGACTGTCCATGAAGTCTGCTCTCAGAACTGCTAAATGGGAGCTGTGTGGTATCCGTTGAGACCCTGGTACGTGGAGATCCAATATAAGGTTTTTTGGTTGGTTTTTTTTTTTTTTTTTTGGTACCGGGAATTGAACTCAGGGACATTCAACCACTGAGCCACATCCCCAGCCCTATTTTGTATTTTATTTAGAGTCAGGGTCTCACTGAGTTGCCTAGCGCCTCTCCTTTGCTGAGGCTGGCTTTGAACTCCTGATCTTCCTGTCTCAGCCTCCCAAACCAATATACGTTTAAAAGCCTGCAAATGCCCAGGACCTATGACTTTATAAATCTAAATTTAAATCAGATTAGAATTAATCTGAAATCTAAACAGGCTTTTTAGATATTCTGTAGAACTGGCAGAGGCCTTAGCAATCTCACTGCCTTTGGCAACTACTGGTGGACAGAGAGGGAATCGATTTTTTTTGTTTGTTTTTTAAAGTGAGAGGTTTTCCAACCTAGAGGGCCAAAGAACAAACTGGCCACTTCTTCAAAATCCACACATCCAGTTTCTACTTTCTGGAGATTCTGTGTCAGTAAGTCCTGAGGCCCAGGAATGTCATGTTTCTTTTCTTTTGTTCCTTCCTTCCTTCCACTGAGCCACATCCCCAGTCCTAGTCTCCAGGACACACTGAGAGAAACCTTGCTGGGGACACTGGTGATGGAGGAGGGCTGGGTCAGGGTGTGACTCTGGGGCAGTGTGCATGGGCGTGGACCAGGCCTGGAAGGCTGCAGGCACTCCTGGCTGAGTGGCTAAGGGGCATCTGAGGCAGAAGGAACAGTGTGAGCAAAAGCAGGGGCTTGGACAGGGTGCAGAGGGATGTGCCCCCTCCACTTCCCTCCAACGTAATGAGGATGGTGCAGATTGTTTACTGAGCCAAGCTCTGCTTTCAGCACCAAGATGAGGTCAGGCGGGTGATGGGATGACAAGACACTCCTGTCCTCCCTCCTGGGTCCCCTCTCAGCTCTGGAGAGAGGTAACTTTTGCTTGGAGCTGAGGCTGAGCGCTGCCTCTGTCTGCCCTGCTCTGGGATAGAAGGTCAATAACCTAGTCAATATCTATGAGTCTCTGCCTGGTACATGGCTCTGTGCTAGGAGCCGGGTTCAGTGAAAATCAGACAGAACTTCATGGAGCTGATGGTGTAGCTGGGAGGATAAATAAGTGGACAGGTGAACCTGCAAGGGGTGCAGCGAGGGAAGGGCCGGGGTCTGGCTGGCACTGGGATGTGTCTCCTTCCAGGCAAGAAGGGAAATGTGGATGCGAACATCCAGGCCTGCTGGAGGCCTGCAGAGCTGCTATTTAAATAGAAAGGGTGTCAGGGTCTCTGGAAAGGAGAAAGGAAAAGAAGAAAAGGAAGAGGTTCTCCGTTACCGGAGGGAGTGTGGCCCGTCCACATAATTACCCACGGTTCCTCTTTTCTCATTCTCTACCTGTCTTGGTCCTTTCATTGCTTTTATCAGAGTGTATGGTTTTTGTTAAACACACGTACTGTTTTTTTTTTTTTTTTTTTTAAGCGGGGGCGCTGTTTCCGTAACAGAAGTCCCAGTCTTCTCGTCACCGCTGTGACGGTCTCTGTCCAAACACCTGGGCGGTCCGGCTCGGATCCCTCTCACCGACTGCGGGGCGGAGTGAAGGACCAGGGCCAGTTACGCTGGGCTCCCCAGGGGCCACGCCTTGGCCCAGGAGTGCATATTTCCTCCCTCATGCCCAGCCCTTCGGACCCAACCCTGCGAAGCAGATAACGGCCACCTGCGCGCTGACCGGGGCGACGCTGGCCCTGGGATTCCAGGGGCTGGAAGAGTGCCCCGTAACCAGGAGCGGACCTGGGCACCGGGTGGTCCAGCTCCAGATGCCTCCCTGGTGCGAGTCCCCGGGGAGACCCAGCCAGCCCTCGGAGCACCCCCAGGCGGGCTCCATCTCCCGCGGACGCCCACGCCCCACGCCGGGCTCCCGCGGAGCCTCACGCAGCGCCGGCCCCACACCCCCGCAGCTTCGGCCGCTGGGCCTCCAGCGTCCGTGTGGGCATCCGGGTCACGGCTCACAGGGACCAATGAGCGAAGGCATATGAGCCGGGGGCGGGGCTTAGCCGGGGCATCATGGCCGCCCCCAGCGCGCCGCTTCCGGGGGCTGAGGGAGCTGCGCTGACGGACAGCCCCGCACCGCGGACGCGCCCCGTGCACTCACCAGCCGAGCGTTGGTCTGGCCCGGGCAGGTCCGCAAGGCGGCGGCTGGAGCGGGAGCCATGGGGACGGTGCACGCCCGGGTAAGTGGCCCGCGCCCGAGGGGACCGGGCGGGCACCGCGGGGGGACGCTGCCGGGGCTGCCCGGGGTCCCCGGAGAGCGCGCGCCGAGGGCGGGGGCCGGCGGCCGCGGGCAGCTCACCTCGGACAGCGGGGCCCGCAGACGTCGCAGCGGGAGGCCGACGCTGGGGGAGTGTCGTGACTTGCTCAAGGTCACTCGTCGGGACTCTGGCACTTGCCGCGGTGACCTCAGCGCCCCGCGCTCCGGGCCGTCATGGCCACGGGGACAGCGCGTGAAGTCCGCGGGAAGGCGGCCCGCCCGCTCCGTCGCTGCCGTCTGCGGTTCTTGGCCGCCGAGCAGAGGAGTTTGGCCTCAGACGGGAGGGCCGAGGGGGCGCGAATGGACGGAGGAGGGAAGGTGGCCGGCGACCCCAAGTGACTCTGCTGGCGGAGGCCAAAGCAGGGGAGGCTTCCCTCCTGAGCCAGTCACGGCCGTCCGTCCGTCCGGGGACCCCGTGGTGGTGTCCTCTGTTCGGCTGGTGCAGGAGCTCAGCCCAAGCCACTGGCCTCCCCGGTTTAGTGGACAGTTATTTATCGGGTGCTCGGAGCATGATAACTGCTGGCCAAACTACTCCCCTTTTAAAAATCTTAACTGAAGGCCCGATAATGAGTAATTTGTCCAAGGTCACACGGAGCTGCAAAATGTCCCAAAACTCAAGACTTCTGGAGTCTGGGCCCGACACTAGTTTTCTGCTACAATATGGATTGTTTCATGAGCCTAACTCAGAAGTTTTCAATGGTTCCCAGTTAACATCCAAAAGAATTTAGTATGGACGCTCAGCCTGGCTTCCAGAATTGGAGTTAACTCCCTTCACGTGGTTTTCGCTCAAACCAAATAGCATTGCCTCTGACATGTTCTTTGGACTGTGGTCCTCCATTTATTCCCTCTTCTGCCAATCACTTCCGAACCCAGCTTTATCTAGCAAAATATCTCCACCTTTAACCTCAGCTCAAGCTGACTCTTTCCTCCCCCTCATTTGGCTGTACTACCACCTCCTTGCCTTTCCCCCTCGAGGGCCATTTGCTCTTGCCTTACTTTAGTCCCATTTGCTTTTTGTCTTATTAGATTCTAGGAGTAGGAACAGCAGCATATTTGGCTTGGGTCATAGCATCTTGAATCGTGTAAGCCTTCATTCATTTATTCAACTAGTATTTACCAATGGCCTACTATGTCCTTGGCCAAAAACAAACTCAGCTTTTAAGGAGCTGTTTTGATGTGAAAATTGCTGCTCTGTTGATTAATTTATTGACAAAAAATGTCTTCAGTTCTTTTAATTCAGTCTTTTCAGCCCACTAGCCAGTATTTTTCTCATATTTGAACAGAACTCAGAAAACATTTGGCATAGTATTTGCATGCTTATGTGAAGCAAAAGCTTTGCAAAACAGCAATTATCACTAATATCTGCTATGGTTACAGGCTTTTCCATTTGATACTAGTCTGACTTAAAGGTTGGAGACCAAATCCCAACAAACATTTATACTCCATGCCTTTTCTTCCAGACCCTGCAATGGAAATACTGTGAGGCTGAAGGTCTTAGAAGTGCCTGTCACATAGCAGGATCGTGAGACTCCTATTGATGAATGTGTGGATCTCCATTAGTGAAACAGGTCATTGATTATTTGTGGTTCCTCCCCACCTTCAGAGTTTGGAGCCTCTTCCATCAAATGGGCCTGATTTTGGAGCATTAGGTGAAGAAGCCGAATTTGTTGAAGTTGAACCTGAAGCTAAACAGGAAATATTGGAAAACAAAGACGTGAGTTTATAGTTAGATTTCAATGTCATTATTACTGGAGTGTTCACTTCCGTACACTGCTGGGGGGAGGTAGGCAGAGTTAACCTGCAACCTACTACAACAAGAAAGACTGCTGACTCCAGGAAAATAGTTGCCAGTTGTAGAGGAGTCGTTCTTCTTTTGCTGTTGTTTATGTGGGCGGTCTAGGCAAACACGTTTTTGTGTTCTATTAAAGAAACCAAAAGTATTTAGAAGCTTGAGCCTGCCTTTCTGGCTCTTCCCAGAGAGGATGGGAAGGGCCTTCTGGTCATGCCGTGTGAGGTCTGAACATGACCCACACAGTTTTTAAGTCGGGGTCCCAGTGCTCAGGAGTGTGCTGGGGAGGGCTGGGGCCTGTGCCTGCCTGTGCCTGCCTGTGCCTACCTGTGCATAGGCTGAGGGGGTCCTGGGTCCTTGGGCTGAAGACACCAGGTCTCTGCAAGAAGTCCAGACCTGGCAGAGGTTAAGCCTGAGTGGGAGGATCTCTGACAAGGTGTCAGAAATAAGATTAAAATCCAGGAGTAAGAAATGTGGGTTGTTGAGCTTGAGGAACACCTTGAAGTTGGTTTCTGTTGCTTGTCTTTAGCCTTGATGAGTAGTCACTTGTCTTCTGTCCTTGTCATGTTTAGGTGGTAGTTCAGCATGTTCACTTTGATGGCCTTGGAAGGACTAGGGACGACATCATCATGTGTGAAATTGGAGATGTATTTAAGGCTAGAAACCTCATTGAGGTGAGTGGCATCTTTCCTTGGCATTCTTTTGGGTCCTGTCTGAGGAACTTGTGATTCCCTGGCACGTCACAGCTTGGAGCACCCCACCGCAGCCCCCTGCTGAAAGCTGCCACCCACCCAGAGGGGCCTGGGTTCGGGTGCCCCCCACAGCTCCCCATACCTGCGCATGTCCTACCTCCTCTCATTCTGGAGAAGGTGTCTGTCTGTCTGTGGCCAACTGTCTGTGTTTCATGACTCTCCCACCTGAGGAGCCTGTGGAATTGGAGCCACCCCTCCCAGGCTCTGGGCTGAGTGCTCTGGTGCCGGCTGCGCACCTGGCCAGCCATTCCCTGGGTCCTGGGGAGTTCTCTGTGGAGCCGTCTCTCTCCTGCACTGCACCCTCTTTCTGCTCACCTGTGGCTTCCTCCTGTGAGTCTGTGCATGGGATCGCACTGAACAGGCCTGGGCAGAGGTCACTTGTCCTCATGGTCTGATCCAGCTGGCTCCTTCCTGTCCCCTTCTTATCAACCTTTGAGTGGCATTTGACACTGTGGACCATTTCCACTCCCAAAAAACGAAGTTTACATTTTTAACAGACTAAGGTAACACGATGTATAAACCCAGTTAAATTTAAAAGGTGTGAAGAACGGACAGCGCAGAGGCACTGGAGTGAGCATGCCCTTCCCTACCACTCCCAGTCGGTTCTCAGAGGTGATGTGGCTGAGGCTCCTGTGTCCTCCCAGCCTGTGTGTGGATAAACACACACAACTTCTTACACTAACTCCGTTCTCTCGTTTCCTGAACTGTCCTTGTCATCAGCAACTATGACCAGCTTGTGCCAGGCTGTGGGTGCCGTGGTGCCTCATTGAAGGGACTTGTGTCCCCACTGATGGCCGTTTAGATGAGTGGTTCTGCTCTCACAGCACCTGTGTTGAGCATCTCGTTCCTGTCTTGCAAGCGAGGATGCAACTGCAGGTTAGAGTTCTCAAAACCCGGTTCTGCCAGGTCCAAGTGCGCGTGCGCTGCCACTCAGCACCGCCACGAACGCCTGGCCATCCGCACTCCCACAGCACAGGAGGGTTGGGTCCGCCACTGAGTGTTGTCTCACCTAAGTTCTCGCCAGCCTGTTAGGTGAAAACGATGCCTTGTCATCGTTCTGATTTGCTTTTTTTTTTTTTAATGAGGCGTGAGGTCACTTTGCCCTGCTGTTGGCCCGGTTTCTGCTGGGAGCTGCCTGCAGGTCTTCCTTCTCCGCGGGCTCTGAGGCTGTGTTGGTTTAGGAGGGCCTTCCTGTATTCATGTCCCTGTCGCTGTGTGCCATGCACTTTCTGCTTCCCTCCTGAACACGTCTCCACCTTATCTCCGCTCTCTTCCCTGGGCATCCCTTCCTGGGTGCCTGCCATCTTGTCATGGTCACTGTGAGGTCTGTGTCAGCCTCTTTCCCTGCCACCACCCTTCAGCCTGGTGTCCCTTCTGAGCGCATCCTCAGCCCTGGTTCCAGCCTGGTGTCACCTCTGAGTGCATCCACAGCCCTGGTTCTAACAACATCCACAGTCCTGGTTCCAGCCAAGCACCGAGGTGGTCAGCTGAGCTCAGCCTGGCTGTGCACCGGCCTCCTGGACCCTGCTTGTGGCTGGCCACAGACATCCTGCTGTAGGGCACGTCCGGAGTCATAGTCTTGCTAGGCCGGTCCTGCTGTTCCTCGTCTGTGTGACTTCTCCAAGGGCGCTGATCTCTAGCCAGGCGCTAAGCCTGAGCTGGAAATCTCAGTTTCCTCCATTCAGTCAGTGCCCGTGGCCTCAGCCTCACCTGTGAGATGACTGCCCCCTGCCGACCTGCCTGCTGCCTGGGCTGGGTCAGTGCCGCCCAGCTCCCGGTCTGCTGCAGGGGCCTCCTGCTGCCCCGTTGCCGCCATCCCCCTGCTTGCAGGACTCCAGGTGCCCCGGCTGAGCTCCTCCTGCAGGACCCTGATCCCCCTGCAGGGGATAGCCACATCTGCCTGTCACACAGTCCTGTCTTGGCTGCCCCTTGCTTGTCCTCCAGTCAGCATGGCTCCTGACATGGGGGGGACTGCTGTTGACAGCAAGGAGAAGAGGCGTTGGGCAGTGGCTAGAGACGGTTTCCACCTGAAACCCCCAGACAGGCCTGCACACACACGGACAACAGATGTCCCTGTCACCAGACGTCCCCACAGTGCACACTCGCATGCCGTCCCCTCTGGGAAGACTCGAGGGCCTCCGCTCTCCCCACCCGAGGCTTTCTCCTGTGTGAGCCATGCCCCGGCCTGGCCTGTGCTTTTTAACTAATTTTTCATTTATTTTCGGCACAGTTAGGGATTGCACTTAGGGCCTGTGTGTGTGTGTCCCCTGGAGCCATGTCCCCCACTTGGCTGGCACTGGGAACAGGGTTTGTCCCCACACCGCTGCTTCCCTTCTTCGTGTCTGGCCTTGGTGATTCTCTGCTCTTGCTGCCCAGGGGCAGTACAGCCTGCTCTGGGGCCACGTGTGTTCCTATACCTGCTGTCTTCCCTCTCACAGGTGATGAGGAAGTCTCACGAAGCCCGTGAGAAGTTGCTTCGTCTGGGGATCTTTAGACAAGTGGACGTCTTGATCGACACCTGTCAAGGTGTGCACTGTGGGTGTGTCTTTGTGAGTCCCTTCCATCCATCCTCCAGGGTCAAGGGGCAGCTGTGTGGCTGTGTACAGGGTGGTCTGAAGGCTTCTGAGCTAGGTTTTGGGCAAGAAGCTGTTTTTGTGTCTAGCGTGGGAGGAGTAGTGAGCTCAGAGGACATTGTTGTCTCAGCCCTGGCTGCTCAGGCTCTGGGGAGGGTGCTGGAGGCGGACCCAGGCCCCTCTCGACACAGGCAGCTCAGAGCTGCTGAAGGAGCTCTCGGTGGAGCCCCGCTGAGTGGGTGCTCTGAACAGGGGGAGTCTGGTCTGTGCCTTGGCTCTGCTCATCCCTGGCGTGCTCTGTGGCCGTGGACAGATTTCAGCTGAGTCAGTATTTACTATTGTACCAGGAGCTCTGCTGTGAACCAGGCCCATGAAGGTGTGGGGGTGGCGGGGTGGGGTTCCTTACGCCTGTAATTCCAGCAGCCTGAGGCAGGAGGA